GGTTAATACTGTATATTCACTCTATTATTATACCAAGCCTATGTGTCGTGCATGTTGGAGCCAATATGTAGATTGTTAATTCCAAAAAAAGAAAAGGAACAAAGGAACTCCCAAAAGAATTCCCGTCTTTCAAAAATTCCAGCACAACCGAAATGACCTATTGATCCGCCAACAAAAACATAGAGACGGCGCTATGGCGCCGTATCGATTGGGACAAGAACAGAAAATAAATACGACGCTTGTTGTCAACAGTCGTGTCCCGTGACGATGGTGTGGTAGGCAATCGCGAATTTGTCCCCATTTTGCGGGAATAAAATGCAAAAAACCGGCAGCAATCATTCGGGAAAGGTGCGTACAAAAAATTCAGAATCGTCACCGTTAAACCTCGAAGTTTGCGGCTCGCGTATCAAGAAACCCCTCGGTCTCTATCATGGCACCAAAAGCAACTTCTATCAGATGAATGCGTTCGATTTGGATAGAGAGGAACAACAGGAATATTACAGGAAGTCGGAAGAAAGATTGTACCCCAAAGGACCTCCGAAGGATGCTACTAGAAGAGCAATAAAACTGAATGTCTGCGTCGTGGACAGTGAACAGGTGAAAACCAAAAGGCAAAAGCAGTTAGAAGAAGCCCTAGAACTGGCCGATTTTAGAAGGTTTCTGCAGAAAGATTTTCCACTGCCAGATAAATGTCATTTCCAGAAGGAAACGAGACAACGAGACCTGTGCCCAACAGTAGTCGGTGCCAGCAAGTTCTACGACGACAATTACAAGGTTTATTACGACCTTCTTAAATACCTAGTGGTACGAAGCCATCGGCCGAAAAGTCTCGACTGAATAATATTTTATTAAAAAAATAGGAGACGCCAGTTATTTTTAGCGACATATTTTCATTATTCAAAAATAGCCGCGCGCATAGCGTAAATACATCGTAAAAAATCCTGTACACAGGTACGATCGCGAAAATAATAATAACAACGTCCTTAATCCTTAATTTTTTACGATCCTTCTCGAACAGCCGCGTCTTTTCATAATCGAACCGACCGACCGATCGACTGATTCATTCCGCTGTACGAATTATTAATGAATGAACGAACGNTTATTTCTATTCATTTAGTCTAAAATAAATAAAAATAAGTGTTTGAACTTGGACGAAACACGTGGTGTTCACGCCAACATAACAACTAACGTATAAAACGCGAATCCTTAAACATCGCCGCTATTTTTGACGGAACTACTGCCTTCGACTCTAGTAACATTGTTGTAGTATACCTATTGTACGTAATAGTGATCAGTTAGCAAGTATCACAATAAGAAACGTAGACAGAAGAAGAAGATCCAGTTGCCTTGTTGCCAGTCGCCTTATCACCTTCTCTCTTCACCAAGCCACCACCAAAAGAACCAGCTTCCAGAAATATCATCATCAATTAGTTAGTCGAACTGAAACCTCTGCTGTGATAGTGTCTTTTTCGTCGATAGGGTGCTTTTGTTATTGGAAGTTCGTCACCTACTTACTGCCATTATCAAAGAGTGCGTCGTGGTAGACAAAAACATATATAGAACAAGTGAAAGTGCGACAAAGGAAACTGTCTGTTGAAAGTCCAAATGACGCTAACAATGGATTGCAAATGTAAAACGATAGCCCACATGAAAAGCACCGACCTGGACAGGAAGATGCTGCGCGAGACTCTGTATTCCGAAATATTTCAGAAACACAGAAGGTCCATATTCGCACTGGGATCCTTCCTCAGGATGCTCAAGTCGAAAAAGTCAAACTACAACGTCATCAAACACGACGGCGAATCGGAATAGCACAAAATGCTTGCTTATTATTGTATATAATTCGTACTTAACATAAGTATAAAGATGTAATCGAGCAGAAGCAGAAGAAGAATATGAACTGGGAAAGCCGGAAATAAATAAGTAGGGCGCGGGATCAACTCAACAACAAAAGTCGTCGTAGTCATTTTTTTCTTCGATGTTTTTTTTTTGCAATAACAAATGACTGTCAATAGAATCTAGAATCGCTTGTTCGTTATTGTTGGTAGCCTTATAAAGGAATCCAAGAAAATCGCAGACACCAATGACGTAAGTAGTCCACGTGAAGGATATTAATTTAAAAAAAAAAAAAGAATAACGTGAATGTATGTGCATTAAAACATGTGTATGTATGTACGTTAAAACTGTAATAAAGCACATGATGATGTAGGTCACGGTCGGCTTTGAAAACAGCGTAGACTAGATACCTAACATATTTCGTCCTTAAATCATGGCAAACTACGATAAATAACGAAATACGTTCATGTTTTTTTTTATTACCTGTTGAATTACTTATTAGAACTGCGAATATTTTTCTTTTTTCCATTATTTACCTGTCTCTTTTGCGTTCTCTGCCAAAATAACGTAAATCGCAATCTATCTAATAAACATGTTTTCGCAACACAAAAAGTGCTTTACGTACATTTGTATGTGTAAATAAGTTTCTTCTGTGTTACGTGGTACGACGTATGTTAATACATATTTAATTAAAATGTTTAAGTACGTGCCGGAATGAATGCATTTTCAAATTTTTGCTACAAGAAGACTTAAATTTATTGATCTCTTTTAATACTACGCTGTCCAAAAATAGCAAAAAAAAAAGAACAATTATTTACTTTCATTTCGTAATAGATATTTTGATTTTAATATTATCTACATTTTTTTTCACGCAAGATTAAAATAAAAATCTAATACAGGCGCTATGGCGCCGTATCGATTGGGACAAGAACAGAAAATAAATACGACGCTTGTTGTCAACAGTCGTGTCCCGTGACGATGGTGTGGTAGGCAATCGCGAATTTGTCCCCATTTTGCGGGAATAAAATGCAAAAAACCGGCAGCAATCATTCGGGAAAGGTGCGTACAAAAAATTCAGAATCGTCACCGTTAAACCTCGAAGTTTGCGGCTCGCGTATCAAGAAACCCCTCGGTCTCGATCATGGCACCAAAAGCAACTTCTATCAGATGAATGCGTTCGATTTGGATAGAGAGGAACAACAGGAATATTACAGGAAGTCGGAAGAAAGATTGTACCCCAAAGGACCTCCGAAGGATGCTACTAGAAGAGCAATAAAACTGAATGTCTGCGTCGTGGACAGTGAACAGGTGAAAACCAAAAGGCAAAAGCAGTTAGAAGAAGCCCTAGAACTGGCCGATTTTAGAAGGTTTCTGCAGAAAGATTTTCCACTGCCAGATAAATGTCATTTCCAGAAGGAAACGAGACAACGAGACCTGTGCCCAACAGTAGTCGGTGCCAGCAAGTTCTACGACGACAATTACAAGGTTTATTACGACCTTCTTAAATACCTAGTGGTACGAAGCCATCGGCCGAAAAGTCTCGACTGAATAATATTTTATTAAAAAAATAGGAGACGCCAGTTATTTTTAGCGACATATTTTCATTATTCAAAAATAGCCGCGCGCATAGCGTAAATACATCGTAAAAAATCCTGTACACAGGTACGATCGCGAAAATAATAATAACAACGTCCTTAATCCTTAATTTTTTACGATCCTTCTCGAACAGCCGCGTCTTTTCATAATCGAACCGACCGACCGATCGACTGATTCATTCCGCTGTACGAATTATTAATGAATGAACGAACGAAGTAATAAAAGTTTCGACGGACAAACGTGAAGGCGTGATGCGAAGACGGAGTCCGGTGTAATAAGTGTTTGAACTTGGACGAAACACGTGGTGTTCACGCCAACATAACAACTAACGTATAAAACGCNTGTAAAAAGAGCTTATAACATTTTGAGATTATGCTTTTTTCGTAATAAGAATAATTATAATAAATGTAAGTGACTTTACAACCGCTGCAATGATGATGATGACGCCGTTGATATAAGAAACAAAAAGTAAATTTTACAACTTTTTGACACACCTACTAGTGCTTTCCAAATTCGTTTTTATTTATAGATTCAACTTAGTATCAAAAAATGGAACTTTTACGATTTATTTAAAATTAAAAAACAACAACAACAACATACATGTAATCGTAAATTCTGTTTATGTCCTTTCTTTATTCTGTAATTTTTCACTTTTGATAAATAAAGTTAACAGTAATCAATGATAAGTAAATCCATTAAATTTTCCCTCAGTACGAACTGCGTATGTGTACAAATGCATATAGCACGATTGGTAATTAATTACAATTTAAAATGTAAGTATGTACGTATTTGTGGTGACGTCATTGAATCTGATTGCATACAATAACGATTATCAATTAATATTTCTATTTTTGCAATTAGGACAGCTACAATCACATATTTGATAGAATTTTTAGACTTTATTGATTCTAAAACGATATTGCGATATTAAAATTCAAAAAATATTCGATCTAAATTTTAAAATAACCAAAAACGCTCAAAAATTAAAATTAGTTTTACGTAATTAATACAGTATTTCTTAAACGTAACTGGAAAACAAAGGGCATTTTTAAGTTTAATCGTTACCCAATATACAAAATTTTTTAAACGGTAGTCATATTCAAAATAGCAAAAATAAGAATCATTAAACACAAGAAAATACCTAACTTTTTAGATAAGTTCATTAAGTCGATGAATAAAATAGAAAATTTATTTCCAAAAGTCTACACATAAAATCCGTTACATCAGGATAATTTTGTAGTCGGTAATACTGTGTAAAAAGCATATTTTACTTGTATTTATTTATTTTTTCTGTTTGATTTACAGATGTTACAGAATTTGAAATAGGTATATGCATGTACATATATCTATATTTTTCGTAATTCAAAAAAGTTTTCGTTATAATTAGAATCTCTGGTAAATCTGGTTTTCTAAATAATGTTTTAGCAAGATTGTAATCCGTTTAAAATAAAGCCGAAAATACGGATTTAATTTAGGTACAACTTTTGTACACATATTAAAATAAGTTAGAATCANTAAAGATATCAAAATAATCAAAAATACGTTTTTGAAATCCTTATTATTAGTCTTTAATCGCCCGACTATCTATAGATTTTCAACTGGCTAAAATAATATCCAAAAATTAATGTCGCTGAACATATTTAACGGGAGATTTTTATATCACAAGTTTACAAGGAATATTTTTGGTTTTTGTGATGTCTGAAACGATATTAATCGCATATTTTTCAATTTTAGTATCAGGCATTACTGGCACATTAATTGTATGACCGCGTTATCACACACAACTATTTCGACATGTTTTAGGAAAACAAATTTGCTTATTGTTATTAAAAAATGTGTTTACATTATTAAGTAATAAAATAACGAATCAAGTGACAAATATTTGCACGAATTAAATACGTTACAGAATTGTTGCCTAACCTATATCTACCCTTGTTGATTAATATTAAAAATTACAAAGAAATAATGTCTTATTTTTTTTATAATTTAAACAAAAGAATGCAATCAGTTTTAATGGTGTGTTAATATTTAATTTGTACCTAATTATAATTTCACCTCAAATTGGACATAAGTACGTATTTTTTATCACACATCGCTTAAAATTCTTAGTTGCAAACACATAAAAAATGTATGTGAAATATTATTCTGAAATTCGTTTCTGAATTTTTTACCCACTACACACTACCTCAAATTAATGAGGGAAAAATNTTTCACCTCAAATTGGACATAAGTACGTATTTTTTATCACACATCGCTTAAAATTCTTAGTTGCAAACACATAAAAAATGTATGTGAAATATTATTCTGAAATTCGTTTCTGAATTTTTTACCCACTACACACTACGTCAAATTAATGAGGAAAAAATTGTTGCTGTTGTCACAGCCCCGCCGGGAATCGAACCCGGGACCTTTGGCTTTACGCACCAAAACTACTCGTAGTCCAAAGGTCCCGGGTTCGATTCCCGGCGGGGATGTGACAACAGCGACAATTTTTCCCTCATTAATTTGAGGTAGTGTGTAGTGGGTAAAAAATTCAGAAGCGAATTTTCAGACTAATACTTCATATTAAACTAACTCACTTCTAAAAGATGTCTAAATTGTATGTACGTTTAAAAATGTATGTATTGCACCTTGAATTTACTTACGAATTCTTGAAATAACTTTGTTATAGCTTATTTATATCTTTCTACATTACTTTTGTATGAAAAGTTCCGCGGAAAATCTGCAGTCTATATGTATATATGCATGTATGTTAGATTCAGATACTGAATTTCGAAATAAATTAGTAGATAGCTCCCTGTTCCGAGTTATTTGTGAATTTTTTCAAAATGCCGCAATCTACTAATGTATTTCTGCATTTGAGCTTAAATAAATACATTGCAATAAAATTCCTGAAATCAGGGGTACGATAAAAATTTGTATACGGGTCACGGGGAGAAAGTTCGACGCCCACCCTTGGGGGGTTGCACGGGTGTCAACTCACACACACCTAAGAGGAAACGTCGCATTTTCTTCCATTGGTGCGTAATACGTATACTGTTACATAATATAATATTATTATCCTACGATATATATTTAAGGCGTAAAATCACCAATTTTTTGTACCATATAATATAAATATACTGTATAAAAGAAACACGATAATGTGTGCTGTAAATGTACGAGATTTTGTAATAAATAGTTGTATGGTAAATTTAATTAATACAATTGTTTTATGGGTTGCATTTAAGGGTGAACGGAAGGGAAATGCAAATATTATTTAATAAAAAAGTCGATTTAAACGTTATTGAAACGTTAACTATTTGTGTGGGTATTTTTATACACGTGTACTCACAACAAATTTGGTACTAACTGTTTATAACTAGTATCATAGTTTAAAATTATCGTACAAATTATTTAACAAGAAGTTATTATTTGATAGTCAAATATCTTAATGTGAATTGTCGATCAAAACAATCGTAAAACTCCGTATTAATTTTTTACTAAATTAGAATTTAGAAATTCGAAAGATATTGTTAAGAGTGTACGTTTGGAGCGTGGCGCTGTACGGGTGCGAAACATGGACTGTGAGCGCGCGGAAAAGAGGTTAGAAGCGTTCGAAATGTGGTGTTATAGGCGAATGATTAGGATAGCGTGGATGGAGAAGGTTTTGAAATGAAGAGGTATTATAAGGAATAGGAGAACAGAGGACTGTATACAAGTCAATAAGAAGTAGGCGAGATAGGTTGGTAGGAGACCTTCTCAGGCATGCAGGTCTAGTCATAGACATATTAGAGGCAGAAACAGGAGTTAAAAGGAGTAGAGATAGACGTAGATTGGATTAGTGTTCTCAAATAGTTGAAGATGTGGGATGTTCTAGTTTTGGGGAAATGCGAAGATTAGCTCAGAATAGGAAACAGTGGAGGTGCGTGTCCGAGGACTTACTGACGACCTTATGATGATGATGAAGAAAATATTTTTGTACGAAATTTACCTTTGAATACTGGCCAAGAATATACTTGAGAATATCCGGAGGCGCGTTGTAAAGCAGAGGTTCCAAAGCAGACAGGTACAGACATTTTTGCAAGCACTGTTTCAATGTTGTCTTGCATTTCAATTTTAAGTCTTCCGATGAATTTGGATCCATATACAGTTCCAACAAACGAGGAAAGGCATTCGCTGCTGCAACTTCCTTCGAATGTTCAGGACCGTGTTTGCCCACTTGTCCCAAAGTCCATGCTGCCACGATTTGAGTTGCCTCGTCCTCGACAGTGTACAATATTTTCGTTAATTCGGCAATACCTTCGCATCCCAACACCGTTAATGCTAACTGGTCCGAATGACCTGTATTTCAAAAAGGATTGTCAAAAAATGCCTCCACCATTGAAAAGAAACATGTTTTTGAAACATCTCTAAAGATATCAAAATAATCAAAAATACGTTTTTGAAATCCTTATTATTAGTCTTTTCCACTAATCGATATGCGACTTCTCAACAAAAAATATCAATCCAATACAAAAAAATATCTTCTTAAAATAATCTGATAAAAACTACTTAAACTTTTATGTGAAGTAGTCTATAATTTACATGTGCAAAGGTAAATTAGAACACTGGCAAATACCACATTAGTTCGTCAATTCTACCTAAGTTAACTTTTTGGCGAAACTTCAACATTAATTTAATACTGTTTCGGTAAAATTACGCTTTCGCCGATTTCTATCACCACTTGTGATAATAACATCAAAATGCTTTGTTCCACAATAAGTTATACGTTGGACAAACCAAGCAGAAGCTTGATGAAAGATTTAAACAACATAAGACGGATGAAAGTTTAAAATAACTATTCTCGAATTTCCATAGTATAAAACGGAAAGCAGTTTTCTAGAAATGATCTGATAAAAACTACTAATTAAAAGCTTGTGTTCCCACAACATGTTACACTTTAGACCTTAAATTTCATGTTTATTTTGGTAAAATATGAATTCTAATATTCGTTTCGGTTATCCTTCTTTTTCCCAAAAAGAATTGCTTTTATTTCTATTCATTTAGTCTAAAATAAATAAAATTGTGACACCTGCGATGTATCCAAGTGCCATAATTATTGGTACTTTAGACTCCTCGCTTTCAAACTTCAGTACCTCCATTAAGGCCCCGACGCCTCCGGTGTTTACAATCAACTGGGCCAATTCTAGTGAATGTTTCACAATTTCTCTTACCAATGTGGTTGCATTTTTTCGTATAGCGGGGCAACTGTGTGCAAAAAGCAGTAGCACGTTCGGGAATACTTCTGCTTCAACGACAAACTCGGCCAGTTCGTTCGAATGTTTGGCGATCGAACCTTAAATAATTAATTTAACGAACAGAAAACAAACAGGCCGTGCTATTAAAGGGTCAAGGAGAAGCAATGCTTGAAAATAATAGGGGAGGAATTGAAATTGCTACTAGTCCCTCTGTCTATGCCAAAGGGGGTTCTAGGCGTTACAATAAATATGAAATTAAACTATCGGTCTTTGGGTAAATGATTTAAATTTAACGCAATTCCTGAACTAATTCTTATATTTTATTTTTTGTTGTTGTTGATTAAGTGAGATTAAAAACTTAGTAAACTTTTAAGAAACATAAATCCTATCTGTAATGGTGTAAGGTTTGCTGTGACCATGAAACCGTAACCGACGTTTCGCTCTCAAGTTTAGAGCTTCTTCAGGGTAGGGTTCTAGTCAATTTCCATAAAGTTTGTGGCATAAGTAGAAAAAAGAAACGAGATAGTTGTCTCTTAGTAATAGCAAATATTATATTATTGGAAAAATAGATTTAGCTTTAAATAAAATGGAAGTGGTACTGACAGATCAGTACTGTATGAAAATAAATAAAAGTAAAACTAAAATACTGATATGCAAGGGAAGAAAAAGTAGGGAAAGAGCGAATATAAAGATAGGAGACGAAAAATTAGAAGAAGTGGCTGATTTTAGATACCTAGGAAGTTAGATAAGTCAGGATGGAAGGAGTAGTAGGGATATAAAGCAGAGGATAGCTTAGGGTCGAGTCGCCTTGAATAAATATAAGTCACTTCTATGCTCGCGAATTTAGAATTTAGAAATTCGAAAAAGTTTGTTGAAGGTGTATGTTTGGAGCACGGCGTTGTACGGGTGTGAAACATGGACAGTGGGAGCGGCGGAAAAGGTTAGAAGCGTTCGAAATGTGGTGTTATAGGCGGATGATGAGGATATCGTGGGTAGAAAAGGTTAGAAATGAAGAGGTATTGGAAAGAATAGGAGAACAGAGGACTCTATGGAAGTCAATAAAAAATAGGCGAGATAGGTTGGTAGGACACCTTCTCAGGCATGAAGGTCTAGTCAGAGACATATTAGAGGTAGAAACAGGAGTTAGGAGGGGTAGAGGTAGACCTAGATTAGATTACTGTTCGCAAATAGTTAAGGATGTGGGTTGTTCTAGTTTTAGGGAAATGCGAAGTTTAGCTCAGGATAGGAAAGAGTGGAGGTACGTGTCCAACCAGTCTAAGGACTGATGACCTTATGATGATGATGATGATGATGGAAAAATAGATTAACCTTAGGTCCTTCAAATTTGTTTCCACCAGCGTTTTAATAAATGAAAATGGTTTTGATTGAAACGACAAGGAAGGAAAGTAATTAGTAATTAAATAAGTACTTAGACATTGTAGAATTTGTTTTTTGAGTTTTTCGTCTTGATTATTCAGGGATTTTGATAGATAAGCTAAAGCCCCAGCATCCACGATATTCTGTGCCAAATTGACGCTATGTTTTGCAATGTCATTTAAGGCGCTAGTTGCCACTTGCTTCAAATATAATTCGGGTTCTTGTAGACACAAAACAATCAGAGGTATTGCACCCGCATCTACAATCCTTTGGGCAAGAGCCTGAGTGTGCCTAGCAGCGTAGCCAATGGCCCAAATGGCAGCTTCCTTTACCTGTTAAATCATCAAAATCGAAAACTTATTTAACTTCTTTAATCAAGGATTACACTCGTATTCCTAATTCCTAATGCATTAATTAAAATCAATGGCGGACCTCGGACACTTGGGGCCCGATGAATAAGTCTTTTAAAGGCTCCTAATTAATTTTTAATTCTATTTAATCGCGATTAAATTACGACTTAATCAAGACACCCTTTTATTGGTGTCTTCCATGATTCATTGATGCAAAAATATCGTTTTCTGCTTTTAAATTTTTAATATTCATTTTATTACTACAATGTTTATTATAAAAACGCAACAAACTTAAAATTAGTTCAATTGTATTGTCTCAGCTTATTTATTATTCTAGACTCAAAAATAGTATGTCTTTTGTTTTATGCTCATATCGTTAAGTATTTTTATTTCAATTAAAATTAGTACGCCCTGTATGTGAGTTAAATGTAAAATAGTGGTTGCCGTACCGTGGGTTCAAAATCGTCCAAACAAATGATAAACGCTTCTAATCCCCCACTGTTCAATACTGCTTCTGCATGTTCTGCGCTGTGTTTGCAAAGTGACCTAAGCACAAACAGTGCCGATTTCTTGTAATGTTTCTAAAAGCAAAAAAACGTTGACTTTTTTCAAACATTCAGTAAATGTAGTATTTTCACATTTTTCTTCTCTATATCCTTCAGTAATACCGGAACGTAGCCCATATTTAAAACAGTGCAACCCGCTTTAGCATCATGATGAATTATTCTTCCAACTGCTATTGCAGCCGCGTTTTGAATTTGAATACAAATATCAGACAAAAGATGATAAAGAAGAGCTTAAATTGATTACAAAGGTCAGTTAATTTTATAACGTGTATGTGAAAATGACTTACAAAGGGCCCCTGCGTCTATTAAGTACTGAATGTTGACTGGTCTCAGGGCTAAATCGCCAACAGTTTGTGCAAAATTGAGTCTACTTTTCTGATATTGATCAAAAACTTGATAAACTGCACGGGCCGTCATTCTGACTAAAATATTCTATTTCTATCAAATTAATAATATTTCCATGGTAATAAAATATTTATGGTAAAGCTCATTCAGTTTTGATAAAAATAGTATAATAACAATGTTGTGGCAGTATCAAAAATAAAATGGCAAATGTATCTATTTATTGAAATAAAACAATTGCTCCCGCCTTTCGGTTAAAGAGCCACTACAGCAACCAATTTATTTCTATGATATTGGTGTATGTATCTCTGTGGTCTGTGAAGGCTTGTAAAATAAAGGTTATGTGTTTATTAACTGTTTTTTTGAATAATTTTAGTACATTTTTTAATAATTCATTAATTGTTATAAGTAAAATGATATCGATTTATAATATGAAGTTAATTATTAAGCAGAAAAGATTGGTTAACTTAATTCAAATGGTAATGCTTAATTGTAATAATTTGTAAATGATTAAAAAAGACATTTTTTTCAGACAAAATATTCAGATAAAAAAGCCCCAGGAATCCCTCAAAATCCTTTAGAAAATGTAATTACTGCACATTTACAATCAGAAAATGGGGTAGTTTATGAAAAAAAACCGTTCAAAATAAAACTTGAAGCAGGTAACTAGTAGTATATTCTATTTCTTAATTTCTTATTAACTTAGACGTAAACTTTTAAGGTAATAATTATTTCTGGTGTTTGTGTGGTCGTTCTAAAAGCCAACCGTTGTGTGACGGCACCCACAAAGATATTTTTTTGAAAGTAAAACAAAGGTGAGTCTAATTTCTTTTTTGTTAAGCTGCTAGATTTTTACTGTCGTTATAGACCAATTCGTTTTCAAGTTACTGAAAGTAAGGAGTATTGGTTGTGTAATTGTAAACAAACAAATCATAGACCGTTTTGTGATGCTACTCATAAATCGAAGGTAGTGCAAGACGCCACTCCTATAATAAGGTCATGAGCATTTTAAATTTTGCCCTTGTTTCTCTTGAGTTTGGAAGTAGATTAATAATTGCAATGTTGTAGTATCATAGGGGCACTACTATTTATAATAAATAAAGCCCTGAATAAGTAATGAATGTGTATTTAAAATAATTACATTATGTACATTCACGCTCATAAAATATTTAATTAAGCTACATATTTGATTCCTAATTACAATTAAGTAATAAGCTATAAAACACTATTCACGTCGTGTTGTCTTTTTGCTTAGGTTGATTCTGTTCTAATTCATAATCCAATCGTTCTTTTGCCCTTACAATTTTAGATTGAATATAAAATGAACCTCCATGTTCTTTATCATTTACTTTGAAAAGGTGATCAAACCTCTTTTGGATTTCATCTTTGTTCAGTTGGGATACGTTTAAAATTTGTTTTGCTTCTTCTAAAGAGAGACCTATCTTTACATTTCCGGCACTTTCAGTTTTTGATCTTGCGTTTCCTAACCTTCTTGCTGCTTCTTGAGATGCTGCTATTTCTTCTTTAATAGCCTTTGCAAAAGCTCTACCAACAACTTGGGCACCTGTTATTATTATCTGGGCAATGAATTTAGCCATTTTATATCCGAGAATAAATGTTTTTTGGAAGAAAACAGATTTTATTACTTTGATCTGACATTGTGCGACAAAAGGTTATGTTGTACAGCAATGACACTAATACTGTCTAAAGTACCAAGGTACCAATTTTCATTTTTACATTCAAAATTTTTTTTGTCATACAATATTTGTCACTAAAGAATTAAGCTCTGTTACCATTTGTCTGACAAAATTGTAAATTTATCGCAATCATTAATTACATTCATTGCTGCAATAAATCTTTATTCCAGTTTAAACAAGTTCTGAATTTTAACCACTATCAATGGAAAACAATACAAGATTGTAATATTGCATTGTATTGCATGCCTTATCTATGATACCTATTGTTATTAACAGTTATTAATTGGTTATTAATTCACAAACAATCAGTCAGAACAATTAATTATAAATCACCAATTTAAAGAATAATGACTTGTAGGTCTTTTGGTTTGTGATTTATCTATTTAAAATCAAGAATAACTACACTTATAATATTTTTCCGAAAGTTAAGTTCAAAAATGTCTGGAGAATTCTTTTGTGAATTTGGAATTTGCAACGAATTAGATCAATATTGTTGTGGCGATAATAAGTGCTGTGCTAAGATACCGTTATTCTGGTATTACTGGCAAGTATAATACCTCTTTGATAAGTAAAATTGTTATAGTTCCCCATTTTTTGCAGTTTTGGGGTGCTGGCATTTCTCTTTTTTGCATTGGTCCTTATAGGAATTTATTTAATTTTTGTGAAAAGACGTAAGATATTTAATTGCTCTAATAGACCCAATCAAAATTACTATTTTAAACTAGTTAATGAATCTATTTAATTTTTGTTATTGATCTACAGCTTTTAATTTATCAATATACTTTTTAATTATTAAGTTATAAGAACATCACATCACTATATAAAGATGGTATCATATCATAAGCGTTTGTTTTCTTTGTAAGTTATTTATATAGCAGATATTTTCTTACTTCTAAGTTGTACAAGTCAGTATTACTATAATGCATAAATTAAACAAATTATTTTATTCCTGTGATGCAATTTACTTACTGTTACATCTTTAATACAAGCAACCACCATAGCAGTAATGAGATACACTTTATAGTTATTACATGAAGAATTTAATGAATTTTAAAAAACTTACATAATAAAAACTAACAACAACTAATAAAAATGATCTTCTGGACATAAGCATCGTAATTTGTAGTTTTGTATTTACCAAAACAAACTGAAAAGTATGGTTAAGAATTATCGTATGAACATATTTTTTTAAAAATGTGTACAACTTACTTGGTTATCGATAACTCTGGCATTCCCGGATCAGCTCCTTTCTGGAAACCTAAAATTGAGTTGTAAATATTTTTGACGCTAGTTTTTCTTACATACCCATGTATAAAACTGTTGGAATGAATCCGTAATGAAAAATCGTTTTCCCTATATCTATCACAATTGATAAACGTTCTGCTGCTCCTTGGGATAAGGCCATTTTACTTTATTATTTAATAAGTTTTTATAATAAGAGCCTTGAATAATTTTTATAGTGGAAGTAATATTAGAGGTTATACTTGAGGTTATGGTCAAATCTATCATCTATGGGTAAGTTATTCTATGAACTGTGGTCAAGACCACCATAGAAAACTATATAAATTGATAGAATTATTTAAGCTGTTCTCATTGAACCGCACGAAGTGATCGTCAAGTGATAGGGATTGTTTTAATTAAAATTTGTATTTAAATATATTTATTGGAATAATATTAGGACGTTAAGTCTTAAAAGTTTTAAAATATGAATTTATAAATGATTTATTCTTTTAAAACTATTAATAATTTAAAATAGTATGTTTAAAACAATTTTTGATTTTACACATGAATCAATGTGATGACAGTATTCTGCATTTTTACCGTATTAATTTAATGGAATTATAGATACAGCACACATTATTATTTTTAGTCGTCAATAAACGAACACTACCGACAACTAATCAATGAAGGTGTGTTTACGATTATTGTCGTTTCCTCAAAATTAAATGCTGGCCGTCGAAATAAATCCGTTGTGTTTTATGTGTAATGTTTGTGTGAAATATTTAAAACATGTCCAATTTATATTTGAAAGTGTGAAGTTCTAATTACTCATTTGTAATTCGTGTAAAACGGTTAAAATGTCAGTTCCCCATAGCGGCGGTATGTCCAAGTTAAAAAAGAAACATTTCAGAGTGAAACATCAAAAAGTAAAGCTTTTTAGAGCTAATGAACCATTGCTTTCGGTTTTTATGTGGGGTGTTAATCATACAGTAAGTAATTTTTAAACATTGTTACTTCTTCACAAGTCTCTTTTTTTTTCAGATAAATGAGCTAATGCATGTACCAGTTCCTGTAATGTTGCTTCCTGATGACTTTAGAGCTTACTCGAAAATTAAAGTGGATAATCATTTGTTTAACAAGTAATACTTCTACAAAATTAATTATGTAGTATAATAGTGGTTGTTTATTTTAGAGAAAACATGCCATCACATTTCAAGGTAAAAGAATATTGCCCCATGGTGTTTAGAAATATTAGGGAACGATTTGGCGTTGATGACTTGGATTACAAAGAGTCGCTAACAAGGTAGGGACAGCTTAAACAAGTAGTTGTGTTAAATGAATAAACTATCTTCCTTCCATAGACTTTTTTAGAGGAAAGTAAAAAGACGAAAAGTATACTTAAAGAATGACACTTTATTAATTCAGTATATTATCAGAGTTCTTTTTAGATCTCAACCCCTACCTGATGATATGGCAGGAAAGAGTGGAGCAAAATTTTACCATAGTTATGATAAATTATTTGTAATAAAGACACTGACTTCTGAAGAAGTAGAAAGAATGCATTCGTTTTTAAAACATTACCATCCAGTAAGTATTTCATGTAATTTTTAACAGTAAAGCAATTGTTTCTTTTTATTTATAGTATATTGTTGAAAGGCACGGTAAGACATTGTTACCGCAGTATTTGGGAATGTATAGATTAACAGTAGATGGAATTGAACACTATTTAGTTGTGACACGAAATGTTTTCTCTAATCATCTCAGTGTCCATAGGAAATTCGATTTAAAAGGCTCCACTGTTGATAGGGAGGCATCGGATAAGGAATTGGAAAAAGATTTGCCAACACTTAAAGATAATGATTTTGTAAACCAACAAATGAAGGTAATTCTACAAATATTAATTCAGAATGGTAAATCTCATTCATATTTTAGAAGAAATATATCCTAATAAATAATTAAAGGTTTAAAATAAATATTATTAATAATAAAAATGTCAGCTTTTTAATATTATAAATAGTTAATACACGAATTTAAAGAAAATGCTATAATGTGTTCAATATGTTTAAAAAGCTGATTTTTTTTACTATAATGAATGAAATATATACGAGTGTAACAATTTTAAAGGTTTATATTGGAGAAGAAGCGAAACAAAAGCTTCTCGAAACGTTGTCCGCTGACGTAGAATTTTTGACAAAACTGCACTTGATGGACTACAGTTTGTTATTAGGTAAAGCTACTCAGTTTCTGTGAAAGATACTATTATTGTTCAACAATAGTTAATAGTAATTTAATTTTTTATCAATTTTATAAATTTAGGTATTCACGAGGTTGAGAGAGGCGAACAAGAACTGAGAGAGAGAGAAAATGAGGCTGAAAACACTGGCTTAGACTCGGACGAGAGCGAATCTGGATCAGGCCTAGAAAACAGAAATTTAGGCTTTAATACTCCCCCCGATTCACCAAACGCTGTCGTACAATTCGTCAGAGATCACAGTCTTCAGTATGAAGGTAAAAAGTTTAAATTTCAGTTAANTGAATTGTTGAAATATATATAAATATGTATGTAAATTACACTTAAACCATCGTGACAAAATTACGTTAAATTTTGGTGTATTGAAAAAAAAATTAATTTCCATAAGTTTACAGTTACTTTAATTATACCTATAAAAATTTAATTTGCAATATTAATCTCCTGGTGAAGCCAAGAATGTTAGCGAAAACCGACACCCTCAATTTAATTATCTTTAATTCAACTAGTACGGTAGTTACTAAGATCAACATTATTTATTAGTAAATATGTTTGATTAGAGAAGGTAATTATTTTGTAAAATTACCATTACCATAAATAACTGTAGCATGTAGTCTTATTTTGTCTGATCAAAAAGTTGAGTGAGAAAAGTCCTAAGAACAACTTACTTAAATTAATACTGTGTGTTCACTTTAAAATTCATCACCCTCCTAATAAGAATAGTAATACTAAATTAATTATATCTAGTTGCGTATTGTTTAATATGACAAACCATTTTACAGAAGGATTACACAAAACTATGGACGCTGTATGCCATGGGGAATTTGTCCTTTTTGCACTCCAGAATATTGTTGTACCTAATGTTAAAGGAAACTTGCCTTTTTTTACTGGAAACAGACAGCTTGGTGTCTGTTGCTAAAGGAAGGATTTATGACGATGAATTGGCAATATCTTGAGTGAGTGACACTTTTCCTTTTATTTTTTACATCCCAACTCAATTGCAATATTAAAAACGTTCCAGGTACATTGTTAAATAAATAAATATTTATCCCGATTATTTCACTTTCAACCGCCAATTTAAAAACGTCGTTTTACCAGGGTGCACTTTCAACGTCGTTTTTAAGTTTAAATAAATTAATTTCTCCCTTATTAAACTAGCTGAAAGTTCCAAAATGAACTAAAGTTGTTCCAAGGCATCAGTGAATAGAACCTAACTGTTAGAAATTACCGGGGTGCACTCTAGATGTTAAAGTATCGAAAGAGAATTTATGTTTAAAAATTTTCTATGATTATTGATTAATTTTGGGTATTTTGTTTTAATTAGGTCATATCATACCCGAGTTGGACATTTACGCTATACCAAGCTGCGATGCGGCCCCCGTGAAAGAGATCTACTTCGTTGCCATTATAGACGTCTTGACCCATTACGGGGTAAAGAAGCAGGCCGCGAAAGCCGCCAAAACCGTCAAATACGGATCGAACGTCGACGGAATAAGTACCTGTGATCCTGATCAGTATGCGAAGCGATTTATCGACTTCATAACGAAAGCGATCGAGTAAATTTTTTCCATTTCTTTTTTGGTACTACTTGTTATTTTACTTTTTATTAATTACTTCTCTCGTCCCGCCATCCCCGCGACCAACTCAGTCGGAGTCAATCGTCAATCTCTTCCAATCTACTAACGATTCTATCAACTAAATTATCAAAGTATCCATTAATTAGTTGTTTAATTTTTGTGTTAGATAAAAGGGAAGACAGAACACAGTAATAAATTTAAATTCCTTCGGGACCTTTTGTCCTCGTCATCTTGGAATGTTCTTTTTTTTATTAAATACATTGGTGTGCTCTAGTGTACCACTTCGCAATATTTACAGGCTGTGCCCCCGCTAGTTGTTCCGTATTATATTCACTACTTTTTACGTAATCTTTTTTAACGTTTCGGCCGTTTTACATAATTAACGAACGCTCAACAACTGTTCTAATGAGTTTATTTTTCTTTTTACATTAATTAAACGTAGCATAAAAATTATAAGTAATGGAATCTACCAATGATGAAGTTCTTTCTTCATTTGCTATCTTCCACTATTTAGATAAGTTAAGTACACTATGCACACGCTAAAACTTTTCTCTTAATATTTAACGAAACGTATTTTAAATTGGTAACTCTTATCAAAACTCAATTAAAAAGCCGAAGTATTTTTATGCCCCTGTTAATTAATTTATTTAATTCAAAGATATCAAGGGCTTCCAATTAAAAAAAAACTAGGACAGTTAAAAATACATGTATGCATCTGTAGTATTGATAGAACATAGATAAAAAAATACTTTTTTTGTTCAAATAACAGCTTTTCAATTCATTTATGAACTGTAGCAAATAATTTAACGTTTTTCTTTTCTGATTTATACATTTTTCTTCGGTCTTTGGGAAACTAAAAAAAAAAAATAAGAATGTTTCAACTAGTAATTTGTTAAGTTCTTGTAATTTATTTAATTTTGGCCTAGACAGTCACTTTTAAGAACTGTGCACAGCTAGGTTGAACTAATTATTAAATAAATTACATGTTGAAACATTCTTGTCGTGTGTTTTCTTTATTAAATGTTTCATCGAGAATACACCTACGATTTAGGTATTATTAAACAGAACATGTTGAGCGTTCGATATATTTTTAATTCTAGGTAGCTGTAACGCACACTAGTAATAATATCAGTAAATCATAAAGTTATTTGGAAGTGTCCTCTTTAGTAAAATGAATTACTATATGCAGCATAAGTAGGAGTTAGTTTGAAGACTCTATATTTGTACTACTAATACTACTACTACTACTACTACTCTGAACACCACAATTTGAAATTGAACTCACTGTAATATGAAAAAAAAAAAAAAAAGAGGAAAGTAGAAGCTTTATTAATTAATTAATGTCGTATTCATGCTTTAAAGATCTACCACTATAACTGATAAATTTGTCCAAGTATACCTTTTCGTAGATTGTAACACATTTATCAGTAAATCAAAAACAAAAAAAACTCAGTATTTATTCAGTGTTTGTGGTTTGTTAAGTGCCACTGGAGGTATTTGTGTATCGTTTCGTTTTACATTTTGTATTTTATTTTAAATCTAGAGTATTTTACATACATACATTANGATTTTTTTTACTATAATGAATGAAATATATACGAGTGTAACAATTTTAAAGGTTTATATTGGAGAAGAAGCGAAACAAAAGCTTCTCGAAACGTTGTCCGCTGACGTAGAATTTTTGACAAAACTGCACTTGATGGACTACAGTTTGTTATTAGGTAAAGCTACTCAGTTTCTGTGAAAGATACTATTATTGTTCAACAATAGTTGATAGTAATTTAATTTTTTATCAATTTTATAAATTTAGGTATTCACGAGGTTGAGAGAGGCGAACAAGAACTGAGAGAGAGAGAAAATGAGGCTGAAAACACTGGCTTAGACTCGGACGAGAGCGAATCTGGATCAGGCCTAGAAAACAGAAATTTAGGCTTTAATACTCCCCCCGATTCACCAAACGCTGTCGTACAATTCGTCAGAGATCACAGTCTTCAGTATGAAGGTAAAAAGTTTAAATTTCAGTTAATCTGCAATTATTTTAAGAACACTATTGGTATTGATAGATACCAGTTACTGTGGTCATCAAATAACGAAAACCCCGATAATGTAAACACTATATAATTATGCTACATCGCTGTATACCGTGCACAAATTAACCCTTTACTTCTCCATTGTTGGAAATTCTGTAAACTTTTATTTAAAAGCATTTGTTTATTTCATTATTTATAGATATTTATTATTTATTACATACATATAACATTCGTTAACGTGAAAGCATGAATCATGTGAACAGCTAGTATTTTTTTCGATTCGCAGTAGTTCACAGTATTGAACGTCTACTGTAGATGTTTAATTAATTTTATTTGATCATAAATGACTAATTATTATTCCTTATAAGTTACTGTCATCTTTTTTTTTACTATTACCAAGTTGTTTATATGTGTGTATATTGAATTATTTATCGTGCAAAGTAATTTAAAAAAATAAATCAAAAGTAAAGTATGATTAATGTTTAAAATGTGAAATCGTAATGCATTTTGCCGTACTTTCGTCATTTATCAGTTATATTTAGCAAGATAATGCAATTGAATGTATTTTAGGTGTATAAAGAAATCTAATCCATTATAAAATACAAACGAAAGATAATAAGGAGAATTATCTCTAATATCTGTCACTTTATTCGACTTTTCTAAGTAGTAGGTAGACAATCGTACCCGTTTGTATTGTTTTAATAAATAATGGATGCTTGAAGAATAAGTTGAATGAATGTACTTTGTTTAATGCGAATTATTTCCGCCTAGCAACACTCTCTTTTATTTGTTGATTACTACGAATTTATAACAAGTTACCGAGTGATAAAATTTTTACGGAGTGTTAAAAACTATTTCGATTACATTAATAATTTTAACACAATAGAACTATTAACTAATAAAAATAATAATCGATAGTTAAACGACAATTTTTATTATTATTTCTCATTTACATATCTACAGTCGTTTCTTAAATTAAAGTTTTGTTTTAAGTCGCTTTTTTTTAATTGCTCATTCGTAATGTTAAATTATCGCAAGGCAG